GTGCACACGCATACCGCACAAACACACCGGCAGTTAGCAGCGGGAGCTTCCTGATTGAATTCCAGATACACCTCGTAGAAATTAATACACCGGTGATTTTCTCTTTTTTCTCCTATCCCTCGATGTCTCAATAAGCAATGTATAGTGTATGCCAATCTTTTGGTTCTGTGAGCAACGATTCTTCAGAAAAAAAACCCAAGCCTCTTACTTTATCCTTTGACGATGTGGATGGAGAGGAAGACAATGGGTTGCTTCCAGGTGGTCTGGTCGCCTGCAGCAAATATAACATAATTATAAGTCCGGTCAGAGTGTCTTGCAATGAGAGCACAAACCATAAAAATTCGGTCTCCATTTACATTATCGTGAAAACAGCAAACTGAGTGGCGTGCGACCGGGCAGAAGAACGATCCTCGCAGTGCTCGAACTAAAGCCATCTCGAAAATTTAGATCCACATCAAAGTGAGCAAAACTAACAAACAAAGGTCTAGATTATGCTGAACGATATATCTGAGGCATTGAGGGTCTCTTCACAAACATAAAGTTAGTTGATACAATATATGCAATGTTCAAAACAAAATCAAAATCCCTTTCTTGTTACGACACAGCCGGACATCACGTCACTGGTCGTACACGCCGCACGTGTCTAGCCATCACGTGGTCATAAAATTTCAAAAAATATCTCAAAGTCTCTACAACACAACAATGGACAACAATTCAGAAAGACAGCCAGCGACTTCCTTCTGGACTGGGTGGACAAGATAGCCGAGGTGCTCTAGTGATTTTCTCTGCTCTATACATGTAGACCTACCAGATTGTGAAGCACGCCACTTGATTACGACCTACCAGATTATTATCTTTACGAGCCATTGTGGAGTGAGTGTGATTCTTGGTGCAAAAGCTATCTTAGTTGCGTCCAGGAAAGCTGGAAAGGAAATACCGAGCGAGATGGCCAGTGTCCCAGGGAGGGGAAACGTAGCAGCTCTGAGAGTAGTGCAGGTGAGAGCCCGAAGTACTGTAATGACATGTACATTCAAGTCAAACCAGCCAGGGCGGGAACACTGCCAAAAAGAAAAGAATAAGACATTGTAGTGACATGATATTGCTGTATAGCACAAATTTCCGGTAATCTTTTTGATTTCGTTTAAAAAGTTCCCCGAGCTGCCTACATTTAATTCCTGACCAAAAGACATGCACGGTGCTGCTCAATGAAAACCAGTCGCGTCACTCCTGGTTGCGCCTTGCACAATTCCACAGCCCTGTGTTCGCAGGTCTAGGGCTGCGCAACGCCCGGCGCGTACTTGAGTGACACGACTGGATTTCGTTGAGCCAGTACTGTACATGCACATTGCATCGTACAGGCCCGGCGGAATCGGTCTGGCTGGTCAGGTCATCACCCGACCAACTTGTTGACCACCAATGCATGTTGTCTGCTGGGTAGGTTGTGTCTTACCCACTGTGATGTGATCATACACACACTGTATAAAAGGCTATGGTATTTATTTATTTATTTATTATTTATTCCCGTAGCTATGCAGAAGACGTTACTTCAGTAACGTCTGGCGCTAGCCAGGGTCCACACAGCTTTAATTTGGTGTTTGTGTGTTTGTTTGTTTGTTTGTGTCACGGCTGGAGCTATCCCGTATCTGTCCCGTATCTGTCCCGTATCTGTGACTACAAAGGCTCTAGAGGATTGTACATAACAGCTGTCCACAATATTTGCGGGCTCCTGTATCTGTCCCGTACCGTACCAATATTCGTCGTATTATGTATACGACTCCCTGATGTAGAGGGAGATTTGGAAAGAAATAGGGAGACGAGGAGGAAATTAAATTAGAATAGACGCCGAATAGGTGATAGGATGCGTCAGCATAAACATACATGTACTTTGGAAGAGAGATCCCGTCGTCTCCAAAATAAGCGTGAACGAGCGATTCAGCGCCGGTCACAGGAAACGTCGGAAGAGAGATCCCGTCGACTCCAGAACCCCCGTGATCGGCAGAGTCCGCCGGTCCCAGGCAACGTCAGGACAGACATCCCGTTGAGTCCAGAACGCCCGTGATCGGCAGAGTCTAAGCCGGTCCCAGGAAACGTCAGGACAGACATCCCGTCGAGTCCAGAACGCCCGTGATCGGCAGAGTCAGCGCCGGTCCCAGTGAACGTCAGGACAGACATCCCGTCGACGCGCAGAAAAACTAAATCTGCAGCCTCTTTTGCCGTCGGACAGGATACGGATTATAGGAGACTGTAAAGTTATGTAATGTCCAAATTTCCACGTGAGCAGCAGGCCACTCGCGTTGATTTTTCGACGTGCGAGCCAAATAACGCGAGCTGAACTTTCGCGTCGCAGACATCCGGTCGACGCGCAGAAAAACTAAATCTGCAGACTCTTTTACCGTCCGACAGGATACGTATTTTAGGAGACTGCTAAGTTATGTAATGTGCTCCACAGGCAACCATGCATTCGGCGTCGTCATTGGCTCAACAGGTCAATGTACATGTATTACTACAAAAAGGCCAGAAAATCCGATTACTGTATTAAAATCAACTAATTTTCGCTGGCGATTTAATTTCGCTGATTTCGCCGCTTGGTACCAACCGGCCAAAGTAAATCGCAGGCCAAAGTTTGTCATATAGGCAAATGATGCATGATTGAGCAATGGATGCATGTGAGAGCAAAAATACCGATCGATTTCAAATTTGACGTGAATTGCGCGTCACGTCGGAAATAACGTGCATCTTAACCTCTCTAATAGAGAGGTTTCTATTTCTCATCGGCCAAAATTTGTTGATTTACAGTATAAGGAGATAAAAAGAAAAGAAGGAGCAAACCAAAAGTAGATGATTATTAGAGAAATAACAATCCGCAATAAATTCTGCAAATACTTTTGCCTCAGTTCTTATAACATGTACGATGAGCTAGGCAAAAAAGCATAAAAGCATAGCGTAGGGCCCTGAGCTTCCAAGCTCTCTCGTTTATTCAACATCACACACGGAAAGTTGGGTGTGGTCCTTTTATTCAACATCTTATGGCTTCCGATGGCAGCCAAAACGAGAAGATGTGGGTGATAGCCAACCATGGTAAACCATGGCTGGACTAATCAAAAACTGCTTCCGGCGATCCTGCCGTATCAGCAAGAGCCTACAGGGGCAGAGTCCGCAACTCCGGATCTGTGCCGCATAGGACCTCTGAGTCTCCAATGGCAAAGTGGTTTGTTTGTAGGTCATAATGAATCAAAGCATGACTGTCATATCAAAGGTTCAGCAGGGGCGGCGGACACGGTATGGTCACTACGGTATTGACCGTACCACCTTTCCCCCCAAGTACCCTGTGAATCAATAAAATGCACTGAGTTGTGCTCTAAATTTCCAAACTTTTCAGCCCAGCAACCCCTCCCCCACGAGTAAATTGTACTTCAGATTGCTGACCGTACCACACTAAATTACCTTCCGACGCCCCTGTTCAGTGACAACTCACTGTACAGGAGGAACTCTGATAAGACGTACCTGCGCTGCGTGGACAGCAGGAAAGTGTTCTTGGTATCCAGCGGACCTCTTATATCCCAACCTACTTCAGAATGGATCACTACACCCGTGCTCTGGACAAATGTCTGCACGCTTTTTTTTTCTTCACGCGGCCACAATCCTCTTGTACGGGCAAAACCCGAAAATAGTTATTATGATTATGTAGCATGCACAGTACTGCGCAGTAACTATAATACACTAATATTAATAAAACAAGTGAAACTCAGTCCAAGCAACTTTCAAAATGGTTTAAAAAAATTTTTTTTTAGCTAGTCATGCCTCAGGCCGCAGGCGTGCCTCCGCAATGACAACCGCAACCAGATCTCGCTGGAGGTAGCCGCGGGACTTAGAGGATCTGGCACCACGCGAACACATGATGCTGGACCTTACCAGCGCAAAGCACAGCCGAGTGCGAATCCACGCCATGGTGGCAGAATACTGGTCATTTTTCTTTTCATAGGTAAGAGCAGCCAAGTGCTTATACGAAACTGTGGCAGCTTTCCCAGCACCACCACTGGCCGACATGACGACTGGCACGAAGGAGGCCCTCTCAACTTCCCGAGTTCTCTCCTCATATCGTCTCCTCTTCTCGCGTTCATGGCGGGCATGCACAGCGGGGGTTGAAGCAGCACGATTCGAAGCCGCATAGTGGTTGAAAGCCCGTATATCAAACATTGTGCGTTCGAACCGGCCACCCCAACGCCCACTGGCAGCATTGTCCACTAAGGACGCAGCACGGAGGCTGAACTGCTCACCAGAGAGCGGTTGCAGTGGAGGTTCCACGGATACCGAGTGAGCCACCTGGCGAATGAGGTCGGCGGTGACGTCACGGATTTCATTGTGTCTTAAAGACGGAAATCCACCGGTCGGCGGTCGGGCAGGATAACGTGTGGGAGACGTCGAAGCGCGCATTGCCACAAATGCAGGATGACGGCAAACGCTCCGGCACCCAGCCATAGCGCAAACAGAGAGCATCTCTAAACTCAGACTTAGCGAGACGAAAGCCATGGCAGGATAGAGGACGTGACGTCAGCCAAGCAGAGCTACCACGCTCGGAAGCAAGCTCAAGCTGAGCCGCATGTACCGCGCCTTCACCGCTCACAAACCCAGGGCTGCCACTTGCTCCGATTTTTCGGAAATCGTCCGATTTTTGATCGCCTGTCGGACAAACCGACCGATTTTGTTCCCAAAGAGGGACAACCAATTATTTTATTTTGAGCGCTTTTTAGTCCAGTTGGCCATTCAGCGCTTCCAGGTCGCGTTTGGCCAGTCATTGTACATGTACATTTAGCTGTAAAATGCACGCGTGCTTGCATGTGTGTGGACAGTTGAAAATGTGTTCTGGGGTCCCAACAGTAAGCCATTTTCCTAAACATTTTCACTGGGGGACACCTCCGACCCCCGTCAGATTTTTCTCCCTCCAAGTGTGGCAGCCCTGCAAACCCCTTCTTCAGCTGTTGCTGTGATGCCCGAGCTGCAGTGCGGACTTGACGTTTGGCATTTTTGGTAGCTTCTGCCACACCAGCTAGCGAGGGATCTACCTTAACATTCCTTTCCCTGAGCTCATTGGTAACAACTCGGGAGTGGGCATAGTGGTGAGATTGGGCGGTGGGAATCGAGAGACCCAAACCGCCATCCCGACACTAAGCAAGAGTATGTTTTATCAGTGTGTGTACTAACTGAGTTCCACGGTACATTTACATGCATGTATCACTAAGGTGATTCCGCAGTAACTTACATCCAACTTACTCACGGTGTTTGGCCTGCTCTTGCGGTCTAGTGGGCCCACAACATGGCTGCAGCCCACTCTCCCGTGTTGCCTGCTTCTTTTTCCCTGACTGCCATCATGGTGACGGATCTCGACCAGTGTCTTGACAGCACACGCTGTAGTTGGGGTAGAACCCCCCCCCCCCGTGTGAATGAATTGTAGGAAAAGGCCTCTATCAATTATTATGGTAGAAGAAAGCCTGTATCAACACCTAAGGATTAAAGTCCAATGTAGCCATTTACACATTTACGTGTGCGTGTGCGTGTGTGTGTGTTGTAATGCAGCTCGACGCATCGGAGCTGGACGAGGAACTGGTCCTGACCCTGCGCCAGCAGGTTGTGTCCGCCTTTCGTCACTTTCAGGTACTGTGTGCTGCCGCAGCTAAGGGAATTTTTAAACAAAAGTGCCCGCGCTGATCGGGGTAGGAGCCGTAAAGCTGATTTCTGGCCTGGTTTTGAAGAATACTAGTGTGGCTTTTACTTGTAAGAATTCCTATTGTATGCACACCAAGCACAGAATACTGTAAGTATACACATTTTCGGCATGTTCGAATTTCAGCCTCCGAGGTCAAAAACACATTTCGGCTGCATTAAAAATGTCAGCCTGTACTGCTGCTGCTTAGATGCGCTGTCATACTGAAACTTGCAAACCAAAATTTCGGCCGCAAAAAAATTAGGCCTGGAAGGCCCAGGCTGAAAATAAATATGCGCCGAATATTTAATTTTGTTGATTTACACTATTTTACAGTAACCACCCTGCGTTTAGAAGAGTAACTCAGTCATACTGAAATACACATCTGCGTATCAGTCCCAAGGCTGAGCGATTGTCGTGCTGGGCACTGGGGATGTTGCACCGCTCCAGTCCTCACGTGGACGGGCGCCCATGGCAGAGAAAAAGTGAGCTGACAGCCGCATTACTATTAGAAAACCCAGTGCCATTGTCAGAACGAACGACTGTAGGAGCACCCACAGGTGACATTATCTGAACAATAGCTGCAGCAACGGAGGCAGCAGCATCGGAGGCAGCAGCATAACGGGGAAGAGGGCACGTATACGGTGAAAAGTGAAGAAGCAAGCGAGTATTCATAGGTTGAGGGAATGGAAAAGGGAAAAGTCTGAAGAAAAAATTGACTGTCACCACCAGGACCCAAGTAAGCGAGTATTTTTTTAAATTAAAAATTATCTCTCGCCAGACTTAAAGCCTATTGTTTGCCCAGAGTGGTGTGCGATCAGTTGTGTGTCATCCTTGTTCTTCCCACATTTAGCCCGGAGGGTGGTTGGCTAGCTTGCAGCCAGAGATCAACGCCGTGTTGCGCACTTTGATATGGAAGGTGAGTTCGTGCTCTGTTCTGTTTCGTCAGCGGCACGCGTGTGTGTGGGGGGGGGGGGGGGGGGGTGCACGTGTATGCGCACACACGTGTGCTTGTGTGGGTGGGCGTGGGGTCGATGACGACCCTTGTGTTTCTAGCTCAAGGATTGTTAATTGTGCTCGAAAGAAAGTTAGAATCTATCTCGTTCGTCGAGTCGAACGGCTGCTTCCCTCGATACTCGATGCTATGAGCGGCAATAGTCCTTATGCACATTACATCATCTCATACAGATGTACGAATTCCCATAGGTGTGTACCTGCACGGTTGGGTGTTCATTGTGTGCTACTAAACATGTGCATTTGACCAATTTAGCCCAATACGGAGTGGCAGACAGTCGCTTTTCCAGCTTCATCAGTTTGGATAGAACTAATTACTAGCTAGATCTTCGTCCGAAAAACGTTGTTGCATGAAATGCCTGAAGAGAACTTTTTTTCGTAGTCGAAAATACAGATAACACAATAGGGTCCGGAATGTTACTCACGCCCTTCCCGCAATTACTCTCATGTAGGTTTTTAAGCGATCGGATTACACACGCCTAATTTCGATTTTTTTTATGCACAAAGTGATCACAGATTTTAGGTGGTATAGATGCTGGCCTAACGGTTTTTGAAATCATGAGTCTATATTTTTGAAACGCACTGTAAATATTTGTTCTGTGGTACTAGTGTGCTTTTTCGTTTACGCACTGCGTGTGTATGTTTGTATGTGTGTGTGTGTGTGTGTGTGTGTGTGTGTGTGTGTGTGTGTGTGCGTGCGTGCGTGCATGTGCGTGTGTGCGCGTGCATGCATGCATGCCCGTGTTCATCTGCGCAGCATTCCATATACTCAGATGGAGCATCGTTTGGCCAGTCCATGCTCAACTTGACCTACAGCCCAGCAGATTCTTGTGAGTGTAGCACTGAAACTAAGATCCTACAGTCTAGCGATTAAAAACAGAGGACCAAAGATTTGCAAGTTATCCAGGTTTAAAAAAAATCTTTATCCTTGGCTCTCCATCCGAGTCTGATGTACAGTCTTACCTTCAACATGTTACCACATGTACATATGTACATTCATTTCATTTGCATTCAAGAAGGGTAAACACTCACAACAGGCAGCATATGGCCATGCACAGATGAGTTTTACATCAGTGTCGCTTTGCTGATGGTGTGCTGTGGCAACGTGTCAGGGTTAGTTGGAGAGCGCAGTTGCGGTGTGGTGGTTGATGAAGAAAAAAACATTCATTTGCCGTACAGCGAAATATCCTAAAACATGTACAGTGGAACTCCCGTGGTATGTACTGGTAGCTGGACGAGAGAGCTTGGAAGCTCAGGGCCCTACGCTATGCTTTTTTGCCTTGATGACCTAGACAAAAAAAGCATAGGGATGTTATAAATTCTTTAAAAAAATCCTTTTTTTAAGACATAACCTGGGATTCGAACCCGCACTATCGCGCGCCCTGCATGCATCCCCCGATACACTTCGCATACATACTAATTCTTTCAAGTTGTTTCACATTGTGATCTTGCATTTGAAAGCCCTATTTGAATTTAGAAAAGCGATCCTGTCAGCTTTTCTATTATTGTGTTCACATGGCAGAAAAAACGACACCGCTATGCTACGTAAGTTTCTACGTAAGGTGCTCGGTACTTCACTTAGGCTACGTAAGTTTCTACGTAAGGTGCTCGGTATTAGATCTACCAACAGGTGGTAGCCGCGTGCTGTGCACGTGCACGGCAGACATTTTGTTGCATGCAGTGCAGTCCGTTTTCGGATGTGCATGCGCGAGGAACTTCCTTCTTTGGAACTGCTTCTTGCATGAGCTGTTTCGGATATTTTGTCTCCTGGCCTGGCTTATTTCGTTTCGGTGCTGCTGAGACCTCCTTTCGCGGAATATTACTCAATGACAGGTGAGTTGACCAGTTCACTTTGATTCATTTGCTTGTGTTGACTCTTTCATTTACGAAAAGTGTGCTGATTTTGGGCGGAATGAAATAAATAATGGAAAAGCTGACAGGATCTCCTTTCTAAATTTAGCTTTTCCGCTGCCGAGGCCTCCTTTTACGGAATACTCAATGACAGGTGATCTCTGAGTTGACCAGTTTCCTTCGATTCATTTGCTTATGCTCACCCTTTCATTTACGGAAACGTGTGCTGATTTTATTCGGATTTAATAGATCCATTCGTATCTCTTTGCCCTTGCCAACAGTGTGCGAAGAACGCGAGTTCACCTTCTTGACGGTAAGGCTTAGATGTTTTGTCGAAATACTCATGTTCATTGTACATTGGTACGTTACAAGTAAGGCACTGGTCATGATTGCTTCCGGCATTCCGTGCTCCGATCATGGGGTAGAATCTGAATTTTGCAGTGGCATAGCATCGTTGGCAGTTCCCAATCTGGAGGGAAAGGTTCAAGGACGCATTGGCCGAGTACTAGTATGCAAAAATAAATTCGCATCTCAGGGAAAATCTCCATTATGGAGAGGTTCATGCATTCAGTGACTTGTTTGCTTCATACGAAACAAGCCAATGGGTGCAGTCTCGTGAAAATCTCGTACGATTGGATTTGTTTACTCGAGTCTGGGCTGTTTGATTTGTGAGTAGCGCCGAGATTGCACTGCCCCAAATAAAGTTGCGTGCCGGTAGAGCAAGAATTACGATCTGCAATCTGTTTGTTATACCTGCAAGAATGTGCTGTACATGTATCGTATTTTCTCTGTTGTTGTTTCAGTTGCCGTCATGTTGCTAAAGAAAGTTTCCGTGACTCATTTGTTTCATAAAAGACGAGTCAATGCTTTGGTCTGGCTTAGAATCTTTCGCTGTAGAAGAAATCTATTCGTGTCTCTATTGCAGTATTGGGGAAATAATTGTATTCACTCGTTATAAAATAGGGTCAAGACAAACTCACAGAGCAAATACCATCGGTCCCTTGATGTTCGTCCTAAAGAGGTTTGACTGGATATCATTCATACTCCCCCAAAGTCGTGTAACATTTTATTATTATGGAGTGCCTTGTTTATCTCTCAGTACCTCCAACCATTATATCCTTGCCCCTTATATCCTCAGGATCAGTGTAGTTGTTGGAACGAGGTGTCGGACTCAGCAATGTATTTATTTACATTTTAATACATGTTTATTGTTCCTACTTTGCTGTGTTGTTTTAGACAATCGTGGACTTTTAACACTTTGAAGTCATTGAACTGCTTCCAAAAGTTTTATCGACATCAACAGGATTACGATTTCACTACATTATGATGCCGGATGACCTTATCACGACAACCCATGACTACAATTATAAACACAGAATCAACAAAAACATCTGCGGCACACACCTTGTTACAATTCACAAGTAAATATGATTTAGGGTGCGGACATCTGAATTTTCTGAAAGACAAGACAATTTTATGACAGAGTCATGAAATTCTGCAACATCCACAGAATGACCTGCGTATAAAAAAAAGTATCACCGCCACTACTCATATGATTCCCCTGCAGAAGAACGTGAATACATGTATGCAAGACTAGTTCCATTTTCTGCAAGAAAAGGCTTGCACATCAATGCGTATAAATACGGTATTGAAATTGATATGATACACGTACATGTACATAGGGGCTCCCGTAAGAAGACCATAGGTCTGTGGGAAACACCCTAGTAAAATAAAATAATAATAATAACATGTAGAGGCGCTACATGTAGGCCATCATTTAGGGCATTTCATTGGTGACACAATTATAGGTTCTGATCGGTGGAATATGCTGCCTTCCACTGTTCGCTCTTGTACAGATTATTATCGCCCATTTTGTTCGTTCATGCTTAACCTTTCTAGGCGCTCCCGTAAGAAGACCATAGGTCTGTGGGAAACACCCTAGTAAAATAAATAAAATAATAATAATACCGGTAATATCCTTTAGCCAAAAAAACAAAAGAAATTATAGCAATAAAAACTGCTTTAGGGCAGTTTTCTAAAAAAAGTTATTGTGTTCTAGTCCATAGACCCCGTCTAAAAAGTAAGAAATTAACGAAATGTGATAGCCGAAAATTAAAATTTCACACAAAACCTCACAATAATCACACACAGGATGCCAGACGACCTTTTCCCCTCGTGGTGGTCTTTCACATGCAAGCATGTTGGCGCAGTACATGTACTTGTACAAGTACAAGTGTGCGGAATAAACAAGTGTTGTAAGCCGTACTATTAGATCTTCAAGTGTCTGTGGGAAACACCCTAGTAAAATAAAAGTTAATAATAATAATAATCTCTTTCCCTCAAACCAGTTAATAATAATAATAATAATAAGTGTCGTGATTATTGTGAGGTTTTGTGTGAAATTTTAATTTTCGGCTATCACATTTCGTTAATTTCTTACTTTTTAGACGGGGTCTATGGACTAGAACACAATAACTTTTTTTAGAAAACTGCCCTAAAGCAGTTTTTATTGCTATAATATGCATTGTGGCCAGCCGTCTTTGATGGCACGGTACGGTAGGGGATAGGTACGGGACAGGTACGATCGAGGGTAATACGACACCGTCTCCCGTACTGTACCGTACCATCAAACACAGCTGGCCACATACAGCTGCTCGCAATATTCAAATAGGGCTTTCAAACGCAAGATAATAACGTGAAGCAACTTGGAAGAATGGGTATGAATGCGAAGTGTATGGGGGAATGCATGTAGGGCGATAGTGCGGGTTCGAATCCCAGGATATGCCTAAAAAAAAAATAGGAGAATTGAAAAATTTATAACATCCTATGCTTTTTTGCCGTCAGATACGGATAGCGCCAGGCGTGACACAAACAAACAAACACACAAACACCAAACGAGAGAGCTTGGAAGCTCAGGGCCCTACGCTATGCTTTTTTGCCTTGATGACCTAGACAAAAAAAAGCATAGGGATGTTATAAATTCTTTAAAAAATTCCTTTTTTTTAAGACATAACCTGGGATTCGAACCCGCACTATCGCGCGCCCTGCATGCATCCCCCGATGCACTTCGCATACATACTAATTCTTCCAAGTTGTTTCACATTGTGATCTTGCATTTGAAAGCCCTATTTGAATATGCATTGTGGCCAGCCGTCTTTGATGGCACAGTACGGTAGGGGATAGGGACAGGTACGGTCGAGGGTAATACGACACCGTCTCCCGTACCGTACCGTACCATCAAACACAGCTGGCCACATACAGCTGCCCGCAATATTCAAATAGGGCTTTCAAACGCAAGATAATAACGTAAAGCAACTTGGAAGAATGGGTATGAATGCGAAGTGTATGGGGGAATGCATGTAGGGCGATAGTGCGGGTTCGAATCCCAGGATATGCCTGAAAAAAGAAGAATTGAAAAATTTATAACATCCTATGCTTTTTTGCGGTCAGATACGGATAGCGCCAGGCGTGACACAAACAAACAAACACACAAACAAACACCAAATTAAAGCTGTGTGGACCCTGGCTAGCGCCAGACGTTACTGAAGTAACGTCTTCTGCATAGCTACGGGAATTAAAGCTGTGTGGACCCTGGCTAGCGCCAGACGTTACTGAAGTAACGTCTTCTGCATAGCTACGGGAATAAATATAATATTATGGGACCTTCTGATCCATAGAGTGTGGTGCTGTTCCTAGTTCTTCCTACGGATTTGAAAAACTCGACCTTCAGCCGAATCTCACGTATACGGAGGCGTATAGGCATTCTGCTGAACGTGCGAATCCTGTATGGTGTACTGCTCAGGCTGCATCTTGAACCGCTGACCTGGCATACCAGTACTATCCGTGCTCTCCGACTCTAGATCGGGCACTTCTTCCACCACCAATGCCCAATCGATGAAGTGACGGGCGCGATTTGACTGGACTGCAACTGTGT